TCCTGCTCTATTATGCTTTCTAAATTAATCTCCCCTGAACAGTTTATCTCTCTGCCCTTTACAGTTTGCTTTCTATTCTCTTGAGACTGATAGCCCTAAAGTTCTTATCGATCCTCTTGTGGATAAAACCAGCACCAGGTATCTATGCTATTTCTTTTAGATACATCATCTTCTGATACCACTGCTCATAACATTGCCTGTGTTTGAACTATAGTAGTTCCAGATATTTCTCCTGAAAAGGAATCCTAAATATCAGGCTAGTGTTCAACTAACTGCCCTATCTCAAATGGGGGACAAGAAGGCTTTATCATCTCGCTTCTTCTATTTTGCACTTAGAAGAGGGCACTAGAAAGAGCGTTTGAGTAGTAGTGGTATTAAAAGAGAGACAGTGCTGGTGGTGTGGGGAAAGCGACCTGAAATCAGAGGCATGCCCGGGCAGTTCTGCTCCCTGCCTGAAATAATGGCAAAATACTATCAAATCATGCAGCTGAGGAATTGTGCTTGCCCTGAGTTACCAGAGTCTGAAATTTAGAAGGCCCTGTTAGTACTTGTGCTTTTCCTAGATCTTCCAACAACAATGGTAACCGGATGTTCATGTGGCTAAGAGCTCTGGCTTGGAATGAACTACTGTAACACACACTGCTAGATACAGCAGCTCAAGATTGCTCAAAGATAATAAGCTAGTGCAGAAATTAGCTGCCTGCTTATTAATGTTTTGCACAGGGAGCACCTGTTCATTACCCAGTGCTCCACACGCTGTGCTGGATTCCAGTTTGCTGTCATGAGATGTCATTTTAAATCTGTAATGAAGGTTTATGGTCTGGGTTCTGGGTATGGGAGACCTATATTCCCATGGCTCTTCTCTTCCCATTAAATAATACAGGCATTTAATGGATCTGCACACAAAGAGGGTGAGGCATTCAGACTGTCTAAAGCACAATCCCACAATTCTCAGAGCATTTTGGATCTGTCCCAGAGTGTTCTGAAAGAAGACTCCTGGAATTGGCACTCTCTCCTGCCTAACAGAGGACAAGCTGGGTCACCTACAGAAAATGTACCTTTTCCTGCCACCATTAAGTTTGATAACCACTAAGTTGAACTGGTATTTACTTCACTTTCATGGAAAAAAATTATGCAAGAAATGTTAACTACAAAAGCTGTTTTTTAGTATTTTTCTATTTGGAGGATGCTAATGGTTTCATATTTTAATTTGAAAATGTCAGGGAGACTATTTTATTCTCATGTTTTGGTTAGATTCATATATCAGATGAACCTAAATGAATTCTATTATTGCAGAGCCCATGCCAAATAAAAACCCCAGAATGATCAATACATTCTAGTCTTTCCCACTGCTACTCAGATGTAAACAGGGGAACAATGCTTCATAACTTCACCATGTTTCATGCCAGGACCCCCTGAGAACACAGCAGGAGGAAGACAAAAGGTTTTGTGGAATGGAAGATCTGGAAGCAAACTTTGTGTGTGTGTGTGTGTGTGTGTGTGTGCGCGTCTTTTTATACAGGCAAATACTGAAACCATTTTGCAATTTAAAAAATTGGAACATTTTTACTGGAAGTAAACTTGTAGGATTGTCCTAGCTCCATTAAATCCTGCATTGTCAGTATGGTGTGGAGTTACACAGGGAAATAGCATGCAAAAGCGGGTAATTATGACATCTTGCCCAATATGACCTTGGGATTCAGAGGCCATGAATCAATATTTAATGCTCTGTTGAACATTTTATAAAGTTTTCCCTGGTATGTCATATATGCAAAAGCTGGCACTTGGACAAGCATCAAAGTCTCCCAAATTGGGGATTAGAGTGAGCTCATCACATCATGGTAAAAACTAGTCTTTGTTCCCAGTGTGACATCTTGCATTAATAGGAGATCATTTTCTCACAATCGCCACCATTCATCTGGAGTGCAATGGGGTCTGCATTGAACAACTCCTCATTGAGCTGCAGAAAACAGGGAAATAACTGCCGAGTTTTCCCGGTTACACTATTGATATTTAAGTGTTGTTCTCTGTAGGGACGTAACAGCTTAACTCCAAAAGGGCTGTGACCTATTTTCATGATTACTGCTGTGCTAATGAACAAATCATTAAAAGACATGCTACAAAAGTTTCAAGGAAGATGGAGGCACTGAAAGAACAGGCTGGATTAGATCAAATGTCTAACTCGGGGCATTAGTTGCTCTAGTCTTGTACTGAACAAAGTATATGGGGATACATATTTGCAAGTACAAACTCTTTATCTTTATATTCTACTTCTGAATTCTTTTATCTTTGAAGCTATTTTCACAGCTAGTCCAAGATTTGGGTGATCAAAATATATTCTGGGAGATTTAAATATCTATACACCCTATGCCTAACCATCCTAAGGCATTAAGGAATGATTTAAAAATCATCAGTAATATAATATACGTTTTTGCTGACAGATGCTGTCTTGCGTTTTGTGTTTCTCTTATTGAGGAAGTCCCAGATTGCAGATCCTATCTGGTTTTCATCTGAGGTTTTGGTCTTTTATTCTCTCTAGCATTAAGGTTCGCTGTCACAAGGATGACAAGATATGGGGAGCTCATGACTGAGACCAGACTAGTACCTGATCTCCATCAGTCTTCAAGGCCCTTGTTTTACACCAAAACATTTGATGGGATATGCAACTCCTAGAAGGGAAGGGTCAAAGCAACATGGTGGGTGAACTGATCATCATTTCTAAAGAAGGAAAACTACACATGGGGGAAAAAAATACCCAATACAGCAGAAATGCATGGTATATGTGAGGGAGGCCCCAGGTAGATCTACCCGATTCTCAGCCCAGCTTAGCAGCTTCTGCAAGAACCTTCCTTCAGGTGGAAAGAGATGGAGCATAACAAGCTCTAACCACGCTTTCCCCACAAAGCAACATGCCACCTAATACCGGGAATTCAAAGAGGCTGTAGCATAGTGTCTCTAGTGGGTTATGGAATAGAGAAAATCCCACACAATTTACTGATTCGTTTTGATGCACTGGCTGGGGGAGTAGTTAGCTGATTGCACGATTTCACAATGATTCCACACTTAATTTATACAACACAATTTTATTTTAAAACTCTTTGCTACGTATATAACACTGCTTAGCTTTAAGAAACACCACAAACATTAAAAACACAATAATTACATATATCAGAAACAATGCTCCGAATGCACTTCCTTCCCAAACAATGCTATAAGAATTAGTGTTACAAAAACAACTACAATTACAACTAAAAGTTAAATCTGAATCAATACTATTATTTTTCATAATATACTTACAATCCTAGGATTCCGAGAAGCCAAATACCAAAATATGGTTTCATTCCTCAGTAGTACGATTTAATGGGATGGCCTCAGTAGTACGGTTCAATAGGCTGGCCTCAGCAATACGATTCAATGAGCTGGGCTCACCAGTGATAGGACTACGTCCCCTTCCTTCAGTCCCTTTCGGGCGCTCCGCGGCTTCAGCGTGAACTAAGAGATTCGTGTTCACGGAGAGGTTGGATTAGGTGATCAATCTAATCCGACTTTACACTTGCGATTCTTCCTTCGTTGTTCTGCAAGTGAAGTCACCTCCAAATTGGGACAGTAAGTTACAGGTTTTTATTGAGTGAGCTGCCGTCATTGGGCTCCTCCTACTCAACTCATCATACCTCCCAAATTTGGGCTCGGATCTTACTCAACAGAAATTACCTTTGTTGAGCATTTTAAATTACTCTTAGGGAGACTTCTTCCATATCACTGTAAATACCTTTTTTCTTAGCAATTTGGTTAAAAGGCCTTAGGCTTTGATGTCTCGGAATTCAGGATATTTGCTTTCTTTGTAAAAAACTTCTAGATACAATTTAAATTAAGACTTTAAGTGAAGTCAGGACATTTCGCACGTAGCTCCGAAACAATGAGCTAGATAAGGAGATAAATCCTATCTTCTTCCTGAAACTGGCTAATGGGCAACCTTTACAAACATTCAAACTATTTCATTCAATATGACACATAGAAGCCATACCAGCTCAATGCTGTTTAGCAACTTCCTGACTGAGTATGAAGGCAGTATTCCTGTACTAGTCATTCTGAACCAGTTGAGTGACTACAATGCTTAAGAAGGAGCACCTATCACCTGTCCAAAATAAATTATGTATATATAGCTCCAGATCTTGAATGCAAACCCTGGTCTTAACACAGGGGTGGGTAATATTATTTTGGCTGGTGGACCACACACATAAAATCTTTAAGAAGATATCATTTTAATACGTTATAGATTAAAAAAGAATTATACTAAGAATTAAACATCTACTATAACATTGTAATTTGATTAAAAAAAATAACTTTTGCCCCAATTTATGTTTTTTAAAGTAGTGTACATAGAGGCAATTGCATAACAGCTCAAATTAAGATCCTACTGTGGTGGAGGGGTGGGGAGCTGCCTATATGCTAGACCTGGGAGCCAGCTGGGGGTGGCTGGCAGGGGCAGGCTCATGTATAACAGAGCTCACCTGAGTGGGATGGTGCAGGCTCAGTTGTGGTTCACTTGCACCTGCCCTGCACCCATCGACAGCACTTTCCTGGCCCCTTCCACCCACTGAGCCACCCACAGGTGGCTGCTCATCGTGTTGGGGGTGTGGGGGGGTGGCTGGGACCTGGAGCTCTGTACACTGAATCAAGAGCTGCTCAGCTGCAGCTTCTTCCCTGCCTTGGCTGGGTATGTAGTGGTACCCAGCATGTGCCCCATGGCTGCTGTTGCTTCCCTGCACTACCTGCTGTTTGGAGGAGTGCATCAGGGACAGAAGGAAGAAGTGAAGGGGAATTAAGCAGTATGCAGGCAGCTACAGCAGTCCTACTGAGAAGCTGTGCATGCTGGCTGGGGCCAAGGTAGTGCTGTCGGTGGGTGTGGGACAGGTGCAAGAGGGAGCGTGGCATGGGCTGCCCCAGGCAGAAGCCAATGGAGCTTGGACCCACGCAGAGCACTGCAGGCCAGATACAATCAGTTGGCAGGCCAGACCTGGCTCATGGGCCGTATTCTGCCCACCTTTGTCTTAACAGCTCTAAATTGCAAGTCTTCCCAGATGGGGTACAGGAGAAAGAAACGTCATAATACATCAACTCTAAAGTAACTCTTGCTTGTTTTCTGAAGTGTACCAGCCAATAAGGTAGATGCTTGCATATATTTGTGTTTCATCCTGCTGATACTGGAGCCAGTACAGAAATCTTGTATTGAAATCAATGGACACAGAAATGAGCCTCTTTATTCCCAAAGAAAATCAGTGGGACCACAATACATAGCACACCCAGAATAATCCACAAGGAAAGGCATTAATAAATTAATTAAATTCCAAATTATTTTCTCCACATAGAGCTAGCGCATAGCCTTTTACAGCAATTTGCCCCTATGAAAATTTAAAGGTGTAATCACAAACCCTTTTTTTGAGTTAGGGTACCACAGAAACTAGATCAGAGGAAGGGCACTTGATGCCTGAAAGCTTATCCAATAGCCCTTCCCCCTCCCATACAGCTGGTCCAATAAAAGATTTTGCAAAAAAATCCTTGCTTAAAGAAGGTAGCCAAAATTGAAAGGCCCAGTTTCATCTAATTACTTGTATCATTTGTTCTTAGTATGCACTGGCATATGGTAAATTAAGGTAGACCATGCAGTGGCAGAGATAAATTGTCCACCACATATTTAGGTCACACTGCTGACAGCATTGCAGCCTAAACACTTATCCATACCACTGCCTGGGAAAGAAATTTCCATCCCTGAAAAATGTTTGAGACTTCAGTTCACTTTTTCCCATCCAAGTAAGGACAAACTAAGAATTCTTGAAGTTAGGCATGTAGCTGGTATACCCAAGCGAGAGGCAGAAAACCCAGGTTCAGGTCCTGGTTCTGCCATTCTCCCTTGTTCCAGATGAGCGAGTGCCCTGGCCAGCAGGCTATTGGCAAGTATGCAGCAGTCTCTCCTTTTCTGTTTTTAAAAAATAATGGAATCACTGGACTCAAAACTTGACTCTGTTCTCTGAAATCCACCAGGCTCCTTTTTTGACAGATCTCATTCATTCTTACTCCCAAAATCCATCCTAG